AAGCAAAGTGTATACGTGTGTGTGTGTATATAAACAGTGCATATTTATAGATGTTAAGTATATATATGTGTGTGTGTGTGTGTGTGTGTGTGTGTGCGTGTGTGTGATTCACCTGAACACAAAGCTGATCGAGAGAACCCTGCGATGATGAGTACAACCTGTTACTGAACCAGCCGTGTGGGCGACCGACAGGGGGACTCGTCCCACAGTAACCCCACTGCACCCGGAGGAAACCCCCCCCCCCCCTTTACACGCAGGTTCAGCGTGTAAAGTTTCGGTGTTGATGTCGCCTGTGCTTTTCCTCTGGGTTTGTTAGTGCTGAAAAGAAGATGGAGGAGAGGAAGATGGTGGTCGGTACTATGAGTGAAGAAGTCCTGAACAGACTGTCTGTGATGTTGGACAACTCCACCTGCGGATGGAGGCAGCTGGCCAGAGCTGTGTCCGAGCAGCCGCAATTCCGCTGCAGGTGAGACACGTGAGGGCGGATCAGAGGAAGCAGAGCTCCACGCATGGTTACTGCAGTGTACACGTTTTTATGTTAGTGAAAATAATAATACACTTTATTCATACAGCACTTTTCAATACAAAGCGACAAGGTGCTTTACAAGAGAGACGTTGGAAATTGAAGGCAAACAATTAGAAACCATTACAAAGCAATTTGAAGATCAGGCATTTATAGATCACAGATACACAATGTTAAAATCAAAATGAAGCATCGTAAAATGATTAAAATAGACGGTGAGATGAGAAGTAGGAGACAGCAGCACCTGTTCCAATGTGTCTGTGAGAGAGATTTAAAAGAGGATCAGGTTTGTTGGATGGATTCTCCTCAGGGAGATTGTTCTGAAGACTGGGAGCCCTGACACCTCTGCTCCAATTTATCTTTTGTCACCACAAGAATTCATTTCAACACCAAGTTTTGTTTGTCATCTCCTTTAAGTTTTCTGGGTGTCCATAAGACTGTCACCACCTTTTAAAATTGTGACCTCTGACCCCCCCCTGCAGTGAGAGTCAGCTGACCAACTGCTCGCTCCAGGTGCTGAGCGCCGCAGGTAGCCCTGCTCGCACCCTTTTGGCTCAGCTGGCCGATCGCTCCTGCTCCCTGGACTTCTTGCTCGACTGCCTGAGGAAGGTGGACCACCAGGAAGCCGTGCAGTACCTCACCAGCACAGGTAGTAAAGATGGAGATGTGGTTCCACATATGAGAATGTATACATCAACTGTTACTCCAAAAAACATCCAGGGACCAGAGATACACTTTGGTTTGTTTCCCAGAAGGGGCTTCCCATTCCAGTTTGGACATTGCTTCTGTTAAAACTACAGGGTAATTCTCAAGAAGCTCTATTGAGTCATAAACTCTGCTCCTTAAAGTGGCAAAGACACTTTAATTTGTCAAATGCAACCATTAGTATTACACAGTGATTTGCATAGGTGGAAATCAGGAAGTACTTGAGCACAGAGTAAATTTTTTTAGCCCTGACACTTTCTCATCTGGGACAGTCTGAATTGTCATGGCTGTGAAATCTTAAAGATTTAACTGTGGTGTCTGTTACGTGTGTGTGTGTGTGTGTGGCAGTGGAAGAGATGATTCAGATCACAGTGCAGCCCCAGTGTCAGCAGGCCACAGTGGGGGGCAGGGTGGTGTTGACCTGTAGAGCCACTGGTCCTCCTGGGCTCAGCTACCAGTGGTTCAGAGGCAAAGAAGAGGTCGGTCCAACACATGATCGTGATGTGTTCTGTATTTATGTTACTTTTTGATTAAATCCTCACCTTTACGTCATATTGATTTTACTTGGTGATTTTAATGAGACAAGTAAATCGTTCTGTAGATGGATATTATCAATTGTCTGGAAATAGCCCACTGATAATTTTGTTGTAGGTTTTGGATAAAACCGGGTGCACACCAGAGTTGGTTCTGTGTCCTTTATCCCCGGTCCACGAGGGTCACTATATCTGCAGAGTCAACTATGGAGAAAAGTGCATCTTCTCTCAGTGGGCTCATACTCGCTTGGTTTCCTCTGCAGGTTCCAGTCCAGGTACCCCTCCTCTCCTCCTTCTATTCTCCTTTTTTCCCTTGTTTCATCCATCTCATGATGATGTATTGTTCTGGTGGATCTCATCATCTGCAGGCTGCAGCAGCAGTCTGTTTCAGGGCTCAGTGAGTGGGCTGTGTATCATCCACCAGCCTCAGCCCCAAATGTTGTCTGAAGGCGACACTCTGCTCCTGGAGTGCAAAGCAGAGGCCAACCCTCCCGCCCAGTACGAGTGGTACCACAACAGGGTTCTCATGCCACAACACAAGACGAGTTCACTCAAAGTAAGCATGTCCACAGAGTCTGGTGAGCGCTGAATATAACAGTCGTTATTTTAAAGCTATACAACCAAGACAACAAATATAAAGCCACAGTGTTGGTCATGAATAATGTTCGAAGAAACAAAAAGGGTCTTTTTAGCATTTAAGATGTTGGATTTAAATCTGTATTTTGAAGAGACTAATTGCGAAAGTTGAATGAGTGTAAAGATGATCAGATCTGGTTGATGCGAGCATGTCTTTAACTGCCTGACTAAATGTGGACTGAACTGTTTCTATTGTTTTTTTAACATATATTTAAAAGAAGATTGCCTTTTCTGTATAAGTATTTGACGTATTTGACGTCGTGTATCATTTTCTGTAGATCCCGTGTGTGACCACAGCACACAGAGGAATCTACAGATGTAAAGTGTTCAATGTTTATCATGAGACATGGAGCGACACAGCAGGAGTCACAATTGGTGAGACCCAGAGACATTTTTTATATTCAGAGCGTAGATGTATTGTTGAGAAAAGATCTCAGTGAACAACTGAAGGAATATGCAAATACTCATACATGACCATGATCATTTTGTATTTCTTTTGCAGGCCCCAGTTCCATTACTGATGCATCCTGGGTAGAATATGATCGTAGTCAAGGTATGTTTTTTTAATAATTCACAGTGAATAAAGGAACTTGAGTTGTAGTTTAGTTCCCTTAGTTATTTTCTGAAACATTTCATCACACTTTAATTCCTGTTTTGCGTAAACACGAGTGAAACGTAAAACAGTATCATACAGTTTTACTTTGAATGAGTCACAGCAGTTAATCTTCAGTGAATGAGATTTATGTGTTCACACAAGTGTTGACTCAGTTCAGGTTAGTTTCTCCAAACTGATCAAAAGAAAGCAATGGATATGTGACATCAGTAGAAAAGAAGATGAGAAGTCAAGAAATTCTAATATAATATCAAACAATGTGGGACATATAAATATAAATATATTTTCTATATGGGTGTTGCCAGGCTCACAGGAACGTCACAGGTCAACTAATGGACCGGGAATAAATCCACTACAACCAATGGCCAGTCATCCACCGCCATCAAAACAATTACATGGTAATTTTTGTCCAAACAAATACTGACGTTGCAATACAGCATTTGTAGATCACTGATAATAGTTACGGTGTGTCATTTATCAGGTTAGTGTCTCTTAATTGATGTCCTGTCTTTCCCCTTCACAGCAACAGACAAAGTCGCTCTGCTGATCGGCAACATGAACTACCTCCACCACTCTCAGCTGTGTGCTCCCATCGCTGACGTGCACGAGTTGACCAACCTCCTCAGACAAATGGACTTCAAGGTGGTTTCACTGCTGGACCTCAACTGGCAGGAGATGAACAGCGCTGTGACAGAGTTCCTCCTGCTGCTAGACAAGGGAGTCTATGGTTTGTTTCTCGTCCATCAAGATAATATGCTTGAAACTTGCTTTGTGTCAGTTCTTTTGAAGAATACTATAAACTGCTCTGAGCTCTCAAGTCATTGGGATATTTTGGTTTACAGGAGAATATGCAGTAAAAATGTGGATACAAATACAATGCTTCTTCTTTGTGCTTCTTACCCCAGGCTTACTGTACTTTGCTGGTCATGGTTATGAGAATTACGGCAACAGTTTCATGATTCCCATCGATGCTCCGACCTCCAACACATCAGAGCATTGCTTGTGTGTGCAGAACATCCTCACCAGGATGCAGGAGAAAGAGACCGGGCTCAATGTATTCCTGCTGGACATGTGTCGCAAAAGGTGTCAATATTTTTTCAAATCATTGTATTGATGCAGATGCTTGTTTTGTTCCTATAATTCATTTCGAGATTATCTGCCTGTGCATCATGTTCTCCCCTTTTTAGAAACCCACACGATGATGTCATTGTACAACCAGGACTTCTGAAGGTCACAGCAAATACAGTGTTTGGTTACGCCACGTGAGTTGCTGATCCTCATGTTTGTTATAGTCTTTTAATGAAATCACTGTTTATTTCATACATGTATGAAATATTTGACTCTCTTCCACACTTGCTTGTGTTTAGATGTGCAGATGCAGAGGCCTATGAAGTGAAGAGAGAAAACGTGTCCAACGGCATCTTCATAAACTTCCTCAAACAGAGAATTTGTGAAGATGAGAAGGTCACAGTCATGCTGGACAGAGTCGCTGAAGGTATGTGGAGCAACACACTGCTTTTGGCCCATAACAGATTTGCACCAACTGGCCAATCAGTTAGCTTTTTGTATTTTGATACATGATTACACCTGATGTTTCACCTGATGATAGTGGGTTGAGCGTTCTGTGCATTCAAACCCCTCACATCATCCCTGAATCTTTCACCGTAGTTTGATTTCCTTTTTCCCTTTCAGAGTTGTTGTGCGTGTTCAGCTCACTGACATGATTTCCTGAATAGAGCCTTCGTCACCATCATTAGACCCACCTGAGATGTTCCTGCTAAGACTGTCTAAATGTCTGTTGTAAAAGAAAGCTGCTAGAATGTTCCAGTTGCAAAGCATTTGTTACTAAACTGAAAACCAGAGAGATGCTTGTAAAACATTTCAACATTGAATGCACCTCCAATGTGACTGTTTGGACAGGATGATGTCGCAGCTTTGAGTTGAAAAACATTCTGCAGCAAACTAAACTAAAGATCACAATGGGACAAAAAAGGCGATTGTTCCTCTTAGCTGGTTAAAAAATGTGAGCTTTTTGCAGATCTGGATAAATACCAGTCGGCTATGTTAAACCACTGACACTTTTTTATTTTGAAAATTTCAACCTAGCCGCTTGTTCCCCTAAAAAAATGTAGTGTTGAATTTGTTGAATCCATTCCGTGCATTAAAACTTCTTTACTCTGCTCAGACATGGGTCGCTGTGTGATTACACGAGGGAGGCAGGCTCTGGAGATGCGCAGCAATCTGTCTGAGCGACGCTCCCTCACCGACCAGATACAAACGTCTGAATGCTCTGCATCCTTCTCAGCTCGCAACCTGCAGTGGGCCGTCGCTCATGGTACAATTGACACAAAGATTTACTGACATTATCAGATAAAGCAAGAGCTATTGTCATATCTGTTGTTTATTTTATTTCATGTTGGCATGAAATAAAAACAATTCTCCTCTTTCTCTACCTAATTCTCTCTACCACCATAGTCCTACCAGTGAGCAAGTACCTGCATTTTGACTGTGGGGTGACTGTTCAGCTTGGGTTTGCTGCAGAGTTCTCCAACATCATGGTCATCTACACTCGGATACTTGACAAGCCCAAAGAAATTGTTTCCTGCTCTGCTCAGCTCACTGACTTCCCCGAGGTTTGTTGGTTGATTTTATTTATGTAGATTTAACACAAAATGTCTGGCTCCTAATCACATATCATGCATGGGATCTGGAATCATTCAGTGTCTCTCAATATATTCGAAGCAGGAAATCAGCAGTTATTCTTGATATTTGAACTACACACACACTGATCTTACTGATCTTTACAATGTGTTTGTTTGGCAGGATGTGGATGTCGATCTGAAGAAGAGTAACCAGGAAACTCTCCTTGAAGCTGGCAGTTTATTATTGATCAAGGATGACCTTCTTTCACCAGAGGTCCCCGGTCTTTACACCCGCATCCGCAGCCTGCAGAGACTCAGGGTCAGACACTGGCTGTTCTTTTCATAAATACTTCTCTTATTTCTGACCTAGGAGAAATTAAATCTTTCTAGGCCCCATGGAAGCCTTTTTAAAATATTATAATCAAAGCTTATGTTGTAAAAGATTATGTTGCTGAGTCAACAATAAGAGTAGAATTTAAGTATGATATTTTTTACCTACTTTGAGCAACATTTTGTGTTTTTGTGGAGGAGGTCAGATCCTCTCAACCCTTTTTATATTTCCTTCTCTAAAGCTAAAAACACATTCTGTTCTTTTATGTCTAAACAGAGGGAGCTCACGTTCACCGTCTGTCTTCATTACACCTATTCAAACATGGATGACGAAGTACAGGAAAGGCAGTCAGTAACAGTTGGCAAACCACTAGTCTCCAAACTCAACCTCCATGAGCCGCGACCACCTCGTGCCTGCTCTGCGTCCTCGACCTACAGCCTCGACTCCTTCAGCCTCGACTCCTTCAACTTCCCTGATAGCTCCTCCTTTGCCAATGGAATTACCTCTGTTGGAGAAGCCTCAGATACATGGCCTTATTATGGCAGAGAATCTTCCACCACTGACTCTCTGACTTCATCCAGGAGTGCCAATATCCCAGAGGAGACGGACAGCCCCGAAATATGCGAAGACCCCAAACCTCTTGTTTCCAGCAAAAGCTTGCCCTACAGCCAAGTTAATGACAAGAACTACAAATATAGTGACTATTTCCACTCACACTAGTAATCATGAGCCTGATTTGTCCTGAGAATAGAGAGTGCACGTAAACAAAAAGATAAGTCAAAAGATAGGGAAAATCTCAGTAAACCTGACCCTGGACTCAGGTCATAGTTTTACATATTTATTTTTTTAAAGACATGGATATATTATACTAGATACAGTTTGTTTTGTGTTTGTAAGAGGGAGGAAATAAAATACTGGTTTCGGCTTTTTGAAACATTTATTAAACTTCATGTACAAAGTACAAACAAAAAAAAGCTACCCATGTTAATAATAATGATAATAATAATAAACTTTATTTATGTAGCACTTTTCAAAACACAGTTACACAGTGTTTCACAGTAAGCAAGACAACAAATCAATAAATGGACAGAAGCAACGGACAGATAGATACATGTATGTACCATCAATTAAATGATTAAAATAAACTCGGATAAAAATATTTATTGTTCTTGCTGTTAAAAGTGTGTTTATTGTGCATTTAATTTTCCAAACAGTTACAAAGTGTTTCACAATAAGAGAGACAACGAGTCAATATGGAGGGATAGATAGACAGACAGATAGATAAATAGAGTTGGCTATATTTTATATATGTGCATGTAGAGATCGAATAAATGATTAAAATAAACAACTCAGATAACATCTTTGTTGGTCTTGCTGTTAAAGTGTTCATCGTGTATTTCAGGAGTAAACAACTCACACATGTCTGAGCTGCTCCTTTTTTTTTGCGCTGCATCCGCACTGCGCCTGCGCGGTGACGTCACCGGCTCTGCCTCGGCCTCCATTTTGCAGTCGTTTTGCAACCCCGGCTTCTTCCACTGGAGCTGCGGCTGCATGAGAACATAACGTGCACCCTTAGCGTCGTTCCTCAGGCACATCATTTGACGGAAGACAGCATGGCTGACCCGGTGGCGGACGTGGAGGTTCCGGAGGGCGCGGAGCTTCGCAGGCTGTCCGAGCTGAGAGTCATCGACCTGAAGGCCGAGCTGAAGAAGCGAAACCTGGACACCACGGGCGTCAAGAGCGTGTTGTCGGAGCGTCTGAAGAAGGTGCGCTGACAGCTCCCCGGTTCAACCGGTGCTCACACAGTTACCTCGCCGACCGCATGCTAGCACTCAGTTACCCGTTGAACCAAGAGAAACTCGAAGCTAACTCACGAGCCCCACTCACCCCATACTGTATGCTAACGCTAACCGTTAGCTAATGTCTGCGCCAAACGGCTACACGCTCCAGTTCTCATGGCGTGTGGCAGCTTCCATCCTGCTTCCGTTTCAAACTCTCCCTTATAAGTACACTGCATTTACCCAGTAATTCAAGCATTGCTCTCCATAAACAGGCCATCGAGGAGGAGGGTGGAAATCCCGATGAGATTATTGTGGTTCCTGATTCTGCACCGAAGAAGAGCAACGTTACACCCAAGCGAGCTGCCAGAGGTGAAGTCTGCTAATGCTGCACGAACATGTCTCCAAGCTACATTAATAATGTGAACATATGTGACACAAGTCTGATGGTTGCCTCTGTGCATGGACAGTCGTCTGTCTGCCACATGATACTAGATCTCGTGGTGTTTCATGCATGTGCACGTTGCATTCGTGTGACTCACCTGACGCTTGTAGCTAGTATATAATCATAGTCATCTAATTTACATTTCGGGTGTAACAGCTTCCATTGTTGGATTAAGTGGATGTGATACTTTTGTTGTTAAGGGCTGGTCAATAAAACTATATCAATAATTATCGCTGTATATGTATTGCCTATGCAAAGCACAAGCACAGTGAGGAGGAATAACACATAATTGATCCACCTCAGATTTGTAAAACGTTTTGCTATGTATCAAATGTTTTCATTGTAAAACCTCAACCATCACTCCGGAGGATAACTGAGACTTTCAACGTCAACGATATGAAAATGTGACAGTTAAACACTGACCTGTAAGAAACCAGATGAAGAGTTTGCTTAGACTAAAATATTTTTTTTGCAGACACAAGACCAGAGAATGATGAACCAGAGGACAGCCCTGTTGAGGAGGACTCTCATGATGGACATGTACGTTTTTGCACTATAAGTACCACTCTTAACAAACGGCAGAGTTGTTAGGGTCTCAGTATTGATTTTACATTGTTTCTAACAAAGTCCCATTGTCTTTGTCAGGAGGATATACAAGATGATCACGAGAACATGCAGGAAATGGACATCCTCGACATGAACGTTCTGGATGAGACGGAGAACGACAATGGAATACCGGCTGAGGATGATGAAAATGATGCAGAATATTTGCAAGGAGATGATGATGATGAGGTGATGAATGAGGAACATGACATCCCAACTTTAGAGTCCGAGGATGAATCGAGAGCTCCAGAGGTAAAATGAGATGAGCAACTCATCCACTCATTTTTATTTTATAGATGGAAAGTTTTAATGTTGCTGTGCTTATGCAAATTTTAACAGATGGACGAGTCGGAGGTCTTGGACAAGGATGAATATATGACATGCTCATCAGTCAATGTGGTATGTTCCCTCATAACCATTTGAAACTTGTGGTATGGTAGAACTAAGTGTCACAAACAGTCGGTTTCATATAGACTTCTTTTTTCTCAGGATCCAGATGCAGACGACGTGATAGAAGACACAGGTACTGTAGAGATTGGTTGATGAAAAGATGGAGACATCTTTGCACAGTGTTGAGCTTGGAATGCAAACACTTAGACTAGGAAGAGAGACTGGAAACCCAAAGGAAGTTGCTGGCTTTGTGCTGAAATTGATTATCCATGATTAATAATTTCACCACAATATTGGTCAAGTTACCAGTGATGTTCTTCAATTAGTAAAACAGCAGTGGTTAACAAGTTGATGCACATCGACAGCAATTACTTTTCATGGTCAGGGAGGTTTGAGCTCTTGCAGGTGAATGCAGTGTTTCTAGGTTGCCACACGAAGACCAAGACTAAGAAGATTTATCAAGACTCATCGGCTATTGCATCTTTTTAAAGACACTGACTCAGAAATCAGCTGGACGTGAATATGCTGGACTTGAGCTGAAGTTCTGGTTAATATGAATGGACACTTGGAAAGTCAAAGGCCGAAAGAAGATGGACTACAGTGAGCCTCTATCGCTGCACTGCTGATCTTGTGGCTCTCCTCAGCACTGAACTCTTTATCTGCTTTGGATCAGGTGAACAAAGTGAAGTGGTTCAACTTGAGTGTCAGTCGCACTTGTTGCTTGGTTGTCCCCCAGCCTTTGGGTTCTCTTCCAGTCTCTCGTTAGGGTCTACATCATGGTTTTAATACATAGTTCTAAGAGCACAGGACAGTGGTCATGACGTTCCTAATCCAGGCCTTGCCAGTTCCTCGTTAACCATTGCTGTGTTTCAGAAGTGATTAAACTCTGTGCCATTCTATTCCTGTTAAATCCGTAGAAAATGACAAAGTAGCCGGGTCTTGTTTATCTGAGCCGCTTATCGAAGATCGCCACCAGAGCGACGAGACGAGCCCTGAAGAAGTGCAAGCCGCGATCGCCGGAGGGGAAGACAGTGTGTCCGACACTGGTTCCAAGTCCGACAAAGCCGCCCCTGGAGATGTGGAGAGCGACCGGGATGTTGTGGAGACTGACACCAAAGAGGTTGGGGACGCCCCAAATGTCCCAGAAGAGACCGTAGACGCTGAAAACAAAAGCTCGCAGGCTGTTAGTGTAAGCGAACAGGGCGCTCTGGGTGAAACTGTTGATTCAGAAATTGGGTCTAAGAAGGGTGAGGAGGATGAGAAGACAGAAGAAGAGAAAGCAGCTGCGGACTCAGCCTCGACAGTGAAAGAGTCCTCTTCTGTAGAGGGCGATGATCAGAAAAAGAGGTTTGTTGCTTTCTGTCTACTAGAAACCAAAATGGCTATCTCTGTTGCATTGGCTCCTTTGTGCTAGAAACAATTGGATGATCTTTTGGAGGTAAAAATGTTCTTTGCATTTTGTCTTGTTTTCATTTGTCGTGCCTCACACTCACCTGTTACCACTTTATTACCCTTTACGAGCAATGAATCGGGATTTTCATAAGGTATATCTATTCACTGTTAAAGCACGCACTAAGGTACATAATGGGCTGATCACTGTCAATTATTGTTATAAATCATTAAACACAGTACATTTTTGAGAGGAGATCCCAGGTGTCCTCACTGCTGCATTTTCATGTTTTTTGTTTCTTTGTCTTTAGCTCTGAGGAAAAAGATGGAAAGACCGAGTCAAAAGATGAAAATGGTGAGAGTGTGAAGCGGTTTCTTCCTTATTCTGGTCTTTTATATTTAATGGACATGTGCTTATTTACTTATTGTGTATATGTGTAGCTGCTGGAAGTGGTGCTGCAGCAAGCAGCAGTAGAAATCTGTGGGTCAGCGGTCTCTCTTCCACTACCAGAGCAACTGATCTGAAGACCCTCTTCAGCAAATATGGAAAGGTTGGTCTATACAAATTATCTAACCATTGTCACCAGGCCTAGAATTTGTAAATGTCCTATATGTAAACTAAATTTATTTCTCTCCATTCCATGTCAACCTCTTCTCCTCTGCCATTGCATTCCCTCTCATATCTCTCTAACTTGTAGGTTGTTGGAGCTAAGGTGGTGACCAACGCCAAAAGCCCCGGGGCTCGCTGCTATGGCTTCGTCACCATGTCCTCCACAGAGGAGGCCACCAAGTGTATCAGCAACCTTCACAGAAATGAGTTGCACGGCAGGATGATCTCTGTGGAGCAGGTGAGTGTTGAGGCAGGACGTTTCCTTTTGCAGCTGTTTTTCTAATAACTCAAGTTCTATTTGCCTTGATCACAACACATATGAGACAAAGATTGTAGACAAAAATAAAATAATCTTAAAACGTTAAAAATAATTCAGATTTAGAGACGAATGCATCGCAAAACAATCAATAATATAAAAGGCAACAATACAAAAAAGTGAATATGATAAAGTATATTTTATCAACACTAAACGTTTGGTTCAACAAAGCAGAATAAGATGAATATAATATTTGGAACAACTAATATCAGAACACAACTTTCCATCATTTTTTAAATTTATTTTGAATCTTAAAACAACATTTTCTTATTAATCTGATACCTATAAAATGGTCATTATTT